GTTACATGTAATGCGTTATTTCCCTTCATATACGTATTGTATTTTATTGGATGTCTTTGTATATTAACTGTTGTACCTATTGGTTATATCATTTACTTGTATTGGAGGAATGCTATACAGACTTTTTGATGTCCTCATTTTAACATTTACCCTGCAGGAACCAAAGATTATTAGCTTGGCTGGTTTCCCAGTTTGACAAAGATCTATACTTTAAGGGACCAACATTAAATTTTCATTCTGTTATCTCAAAACGTTATAACGGACAGATCCAAATCTGTAAGCTACAGAAGTTCATGAAAACTTTAGCAGGTAAAGTATTGGTGTCAGATATAATTGACATTTGGTAAACAATGATAGGAATTTTCTGCTGTATCGTTCAACCGCGCCCCCTATTTCTGTGACAAGATTCAACTTGTTTTTAGTATTATACAAATATTCACCAGGTAGAAAATTCGCTCAGGTACGGAAAGAAAAGTTCTGTAAAAAAAATAATAAAACAGGTATTTTATGAAGCATTCATTTTCAAATTCATTGGGTGGCTTTATGCACATTAACATAATAAAGCCATCATCATTGTTTTTAGCTTTTCTTGTTATTTACATGTTCTGCTAAAGCTTCCTCAAAAATATTACAGTTTAACTGACGTAGCGTTAAATCATAACGGACGTAGCGTCAAATAATAACAGACGTAGTCTCATATTATAACGCGAAGATAAAACATTAAACATAATGTTATTTGCTATACTTAAATTTGATAAAATTTTACAGAAACAGGGCACTTCGACTGATAGTAAATATTGCAAATGTTTCCTATATTTCTTTACATATTTGTGAACTGAATACGATATTTTTCCGACATGTGAAAGTCAATATGGGTAACGTTTAAACTAACCAGAAAATGGCAATTCAAAGCTATTTTCAGAAGGTATAATTATGAGATTTATTTCGTTAAGACATTGTCTTTTATGCGCGATTGTCGGAACGTTACCAGTTTTTACTTGAATACATATTTGCATATCATTTCCATTCCTGTTATGAACAATTATTAAGTTGACATTCACGATATCTCATCTAATTCAATTAAATAGAGCAATGTCCTGTCTGTAAAATTCTCAAAGTACACAACAGTGCTTAATTATTCCTTAAGCAAAATTGATTACTTTTCTAGAAATTCAAAAGTTCTAACAAGGGCTATTACATAAACTATTATAATGATTATCTAAAGATACTCTATGGGTACCTTTACTGTTCGTTGTATGTATGTTATGTTTATCTTCATGGAAGCCTAATGGAATGTTAAATAGAACTTTTTTTTGAAACCTTTACGATTGGAAGAAGGCTTTTCTTTACCTTTATGAGATATTTTCTTTTGTTTGTTTTTGTTTTACGTCGCACCACCACAGTATAAGCTTTATGGTGAATTTCCAGTTTTACTGGTGACAGAGGACCTAAGATCCCTTCCGTACATTATTTCAGGCACGAACGGGCACCTGAGTAGAACCACCGACGTTCCGTAAACTGGATAGAGACAAAAAGACATTATATGTGAATGAAGGTGTTTGTCAAAGGTAAAACAAAAACTACTTAACTGTTGCTTGTTATTCATTTTTTATTATAAGAACAAATAAATTATCATACTTTTGTTTTGTATAACTATGCGCACAAAACCATATAACATTTAACTGTACAAATATCTATGCATGATATGAAACAGAATGAGTAATGACTATCTGATCATGTTACTTACAATATTTAAATAATCAAACGCATCAAATCTTTGACATCAGAAAAGAACTTTAATAAATGAAACATTTGTATGCTCTAGTGAAATAAATACCAAAAGTGATACTGAAAAAAAAGCAATAATAAAACGTTCAAAATTTATAACCGAATAAGCTACAAAACAAATTCGTTTACAAACAAAACAGATCTACGTAGCTTCAATGAAGAATGCGCAAATAAAGAATTTATTCTTATATTCTTATATATCTAAAAAGTAACATGAGAAGAACACTACTTTAGATTCAAAGAAAAAAGTATTTCAAAAGTATTGCCAGAATGACTGCACACTAGAATAGATTAATAATGAAAAATCGACAACAAACTATCAGGTCAATGAAATATAAAGACAATTATGATAACTTTAGGAACTGTAAAAAATTAAATGAAACGTTTTGTCGTATGTATTTTTAATCATGATTTCCCGCCAAAATAGAATGTTTATTTTTGACTCTCCTACCTTTGTTTATTGCTTCTGAATTCGTTTATCTCATAATGTTAAATAAAATAAATTTAAATAAAGAAACAAGTTTATATGTTGTAAAATGATTTTTGTGTTAGTCAGAAAAAAATCCAAAAGTGAACACAGTCACAATTACACAACAGCCAGCGTTTAGAAAGCCGACAAAAGTAAACGAGCAAGATTACTGGAAACAATAAATCAAAGTCATATTGCAATTTGTATTAAAATTCTGGAAGAAGCACAAGGAAAGAAAATGTGTAATAGAGGGGTGCAAAATAATGATGGTGTTCACCGGGTTAATCACGTATCACAAATCAAAAATGTTTTTATTTATCATGGATTCGACTTTCTTTAATAAACGTATAACAACCAGACCCGTTTTTATAAGATCTTGATAACAAGTAACAAATATCTGTAACAATATATATCATAATATTTAACAACATATCATTAACACTGTACACCGGGTTATCTCAAAACTTCCAAAAGCATACATGTACTTACTTACCGCCCTGATGGATACCTTCGGAAAACTAGTTTATAAGTAGCAATTATTTCAAAATGTAACAATTTCAAAAAATATTCTTATTGACATTGTACATGACTGGAAAAGAGAATGACGAAAAGGGTAGGATTTTCAGACCCTACTATATAAATATTATATTATATTTTTTCTTATTGTCAATAAAAGGCGGGCGTTATTTTCACTTTTCATATTATAATTAAAATCTACAAAATAAGGATTGTCGTTGGAAATAATTCGTACACTATAAGATTGTTGCGATTTGAAAATGTGAAATATATAACAATGTCCGCTCATATACATGTGTGTAAAATATCGGCATATATTTATTTATTGCGTTTCACGTAGTTCTGAAAGAAACTAAAAGCTTGATTCTTTCCTCTGTTCATTAAACACGAAACAGTTCGTTTGCAATCCTGATGAGATATAATATATATTGTCATTAGAAAACGTATCTATAAATTTCATCAAACATTATTTTGATTCTATTTAATCGGTTTAAAACACAGTACTGCTCAAGTTAAGCCAGAAAGTTTACATAAATTCGAAAGTTTGGAAAACAAATTAAAATGTCTACAAAGAAGTGATATTATAGTAAGACATTGTCCGTAACGAAAGATACATTATAATTGAGTCCTTTTTGCAACGAGTAATTAATAAAAAAATACGGACATTGCTTTAATATTGTGTACTATAAAAACGTAAGGGTAACACATTTTTCGCTTGTTAGGTAGTTTATTGGTCTTAACTTTTCAGTCATAGCTTTATTACCGCTACAAACAGTTTTAAGAAAAACAGCTTTCTTATTTAACAGATAATCATGAAATCACGAAAAAGTACAAAACATTTACTAAGTGTATTCATATAAATTTTATTCAGTCATCATACATTCAATCAATGACAAATTTAATTAATATTTTATAACCTTACTAAATACCATTATTTCACTTTTCATTACATAAACAAATCATACATTTAATATATCTGTCTGAATATTATGCAATGACATTTAACGTGTCAAAAATAAAAGACTGAGGGAAAATGTTCACCGGTACAAAAAAGATTGTAAATAACGAATGTCATAAGCAAGAACAATACTTATCACTTATATAACTTACTGTGTTAATTTTCACATTTTTCTATCTTGTTCATTTAATCATAAATTTATCAAAAATGAACGTTACGTGTTCAAACCGGACCATCTTAATAAGGTAAAACTCCTCAATCTAACAGTTTAATCTTAGGACAAATGTAATCCTAATTGGCCGAAATAAATGCATATCTGCATTTATAACTGTTAAACAAGTGGTAAAGCAAAGATGAAAACAAATGGAACAATATAGTCGAAGAAAACCACACAATTCCACTTTTATAGAGATTATACTGAGACAGGTTTATCATCATTTAAACTAATTATCTTTCTCAATATTCTAGAAGTGTTTATAAAATCATGAATGACCTTTATTGCCCTGTGCATGATTGATAACATGAAAGGTGATAAAGAATATCTTGTTAAACTCGCTGTATGTTAATGTCGACGAGCCTTGCTAATCTTCCGACAGGACATTACATCTGATAGTAATTCATCAGTCGGAGCTTCAGAAGATAAAATTCATTGAAAAGATTAAGGAGTTTATTGAACCATGACCTGCATTTATACAATTTTATTGAGTCTAGATATTTAAGGGAGGTCAGAACAGATACAAAATATATAATAGAAACTTTTAATGCATTCACAATACATCAAACATTAACAATTTTATCTGAAAGAAAAATACTATTATATAATCTTAAACTTTATTAATATTGTGTATACGAAAACGGTAAAATATTTTTATATGAACAGAAAGCTGTGTAATATCTATGTTATATCATTATGATGATATATGACAAATATGCTCTCAGAATCATTTACAGTTGTTTATCTTTGAAAGTGTCTTTTTTTCCTATAAATAATAATGACTTACTGTTCATCTCCGAATATCAGATATCGGTTCATATATATATATCAAAAGCCTGCAAAAAGATATGTTTTAAAAAGAAATAGAATTACACATGAATATTTTAGTCCGATCTTTGATAGTTAAACTTATTGAGAAGACATAAAAATTATCCTACAAACCGTATTTAAACCATTTGCCTTAGACAGTGTGTGCATGGCAAATTTTCTCTTGTGCCAATTGCTTTAAACTATAAAAATATACACCATAATTTTGACACCTTTTGCTCCTTTTCTTTATTTTTCTTGATAGGCATTCATTGAACTATTAATATCTCATTGGCTTGGAACACACCAATTACATCGGGTGAAAGCTGAACATTTCCTAAGTAATATATATTTAAGGCATAAATGTCATGCTTGGAAACAGAAGCAAATTAAACTAAACGTATTTTCTTCAAGTGTAATCATACATAATAATCGCAACGTTTTGACAATTAAGTAATTTACAACAGTAAAATTTTTGTTAACAACATGTTAATACATCTACAAATAAAATTGTTCTATATATAGGTATTTCTTTAAAATTTTACTATTTATTTCACTGTTTTAATAAAATGATAAAATGAATTCAAAACGTTTTAACATCTTTTCTTGATGTTCAAATTTCTGTTCATACAAAATATTAACGATGGGTGGTAAAAGGCTAACAATATAGTATATGTTTTAGTGTTTGTGTCGCATAATTGCGCTGGAAACAATTTTGATAATTGTTTACTAAATTATCTATAATAAAGAAAATAAATGTAAACAATGTAGCATTAGAGGTAAGTGATAAATACTGACCATCCATTCAATAACAAATACAAAGACGTTATTTAAAAATACTTCTTAAAAATATGTGACTGATCTAATTTGTCCAATAATAAAAGGAATGATTTTATATCATAAAAGCTGTTTTAAGAAACACAATGGGGCAGTGCATTTTCCTCACAAATATCGACACCGAATGTTTGAAATGCTGGCTTTTTATATAGTGAAATTGATCACTGAATTTCTACGCCAGAATGTATCATTAATATCTGAAAAATTGCAAACATTACTTTATTTTTGCAATAACATAAAAACAAATGACAAATTAACTTCATCAGTGCCACATTCAGCTTGATGATACATACACGGGCAGAAAGAAGTAGATAATGTATGTTTGAGTTGCTTTATTTAAAATAATATTGTTCTATGAAAACAGTTACATTGGCCTATCAAGAATGGAAGTAAAAGTTGTTCTATATTGTATCATTCACACAAGGTATTGGATCATCAAGAGTGTTAGGAAAATATTAAGCTTAGCTTATCATAATACAAGGAAAGAAATTCTTGTATCATTCACACAATGGCTTCAATTGTTAAATCATTGTCATTGATTTGAATTTTCCTTTAATTATATGATAATATTAAAAATAAGTTAGAGCCGCCTAAAATAAACAAATGTACATATAGAAATAATACTGAATAAATAAAGAATATAAGCTGTCATCTCTCGGCAAACAATAAGGGGTCTACTATTATGTGTAACGTTGTTAAAAATATCAAAGTTCAATTATTGTTTCTTCAATGAGATGCATAATGTATAATGGACAAATAAATTACACGTTTATGCAGTTAGCTAGTGAATTCTTTTCAGATCTATGTTTTATAAATGATACCCGTTTTTCTACCGTATTGACTATTATGACGCCAATAGACCGACGTTTGATTATAACATGCAATATATATATATTGAAACAACTACAAATTTTAAGTTTCTTTTCATATGATGATACTCACAAATATTGTGTAAAAGTGAATAAAATTGGCGAGTATATGTACTTTAATATAATCTAAAAAGTTCTGATAAGTAAATAACACCAAAAAAGTTAAATGTATTCGTAAGTATAACCCTTGATTAAAATTTAATTTAACTGTCATTTAAATCTGTATAATACTAATCTTAAATATTTGCTAATTTGCTGAAAGCCTGAGTCATATCTGTTGTAAAAATATTGACAGATGCATGAAAAAATCCCCAGGAAAATTGACTGCTAACAACTTTCATCTGTGAACTAAATTCTCTTTACTTTAATTATTACAAATTGTATGCACTTCAAAACTAACTTGTATACTTATATACAAATGATATTACATAACAATATATAGAGATAAAATAAAACGTAGAACATTAATAATTGACCGTAATGAAATGAACGTTTATAATATTGGTATTTTATATAAAAAAAGAGCTAAGAGACGATTTAAATTATATGGAAACATAGTGAAAATTACGTTATATAACGGCAAGAGCATCCAACAGGTATTAAATCTTGAATGCTGGCATGACGCATTTTAAATTGGTTGTTAACATATACAAAATTAAATGTTTCATACTTATGTGGTTCACACTGTATACCAGCTAGCAGTCTATGACTTGAATTACTTTGAGATAGTAACGGTTGGTCTAACAGCGAGTCAGTGATTCCCAAACATAAGCTTATGTTTATAGATTCTGGATATAAAATGCTTGGAAACACCTTGGAAATTTCTTCCCTATAGATTTCTTCAGAACAGCACGCGTTTTTATTTTGAGAAAATCTGGAACGCACGGCATGACCATGCCGGTGTTTATTGTTTATGACATCACTGGATCTTTTAATGACGTCAATGGATCGTTTATATATTTGAGATCGTGGTGGCTCTTCAAAATGAATGAATGGAATTGTAGGCTGATCCGTGTTTTTTTCAGGAGCCTGGCCTCGAGAGGGTAATTCCCGTGCTCCATCATTGCCTTTCCTGTACAAGTCCATTTTTACCTTTTTACTGCATCGTTTGCATTTAAAGCAAAGTTTAAAGCTGTCGTTCACACTTATAACATCTGGAAACTGTGATATTGGCAGTTCAATTTTGTACCATTTTGTTTTAGTTATTCTCATCCTCATTTTTACCAGTGTCTTTTTACCGTCAGATATAAAAATCTTGATTCGTCTGCCTTGTCTTCTCTTTCTATTTTTCTTTTTTCTTCCCTTCTTCTTATCCAAACTATTTTTATCATTATTCCGTTGATGTTCCGGAGACATAGCTCGGGCTGCTTTGTCAAGTTTTTTCTTTTTATTTCTTTTATTTCCTCGTTTCCGTAAATGTATCCATAAATTAATTTTTTTCGGATAGATCTGGTCTACATTTGTGATATATTTTTCAAGGTGGAAAGCGAGGCATTTATCCTTTGAATGAGCTGAAAACAGAAAAGAAAATACATAGCTGAATAGCTGAAATATAAAATGAATATCCTGCTGCTTGAAAATAAAATGAAATCATAAAAATGATAATGATTGATTTGCAGATACAAGCAAATTTAAGAACATCATGCTACTTGTTTGCTTATATTATACCATACACGTGTTTTTATATATTCAGTTTAAAGAGAGAGTAAGTGACCTACGCCGTCCTGTAATCGAACCCAGGTCACCCGATTCACAGTCCAACGATATACCGATTTAGCTAACCGGACGGCTGTAACCAAATATTAAAGTGTTATTTTCTAAGAAATGTACTGTGATGTGAAAGCAAAATAATGTTGTCATGTACATTGAAAATTAGGAGGCGTTAAAGACGTTAAAGAACAAATGTCCCGAAACAGAGTTGTTTGTTCATATATAAGTTAGTTATTATGGCTGACTTAAATTAAAAACTTGAGCATGAAATTCATATGCAATGTATAGGTCAAAGCCATAAAAAAGCAGGCGTTCAGAGCTAAACTATAGAATGTAAAATGCAAAGTTTATGTCAAAGGCTATCCATGACAATAAAATAGATATACATACAAATCTATTTCAATATGTCCTAGTTTTTTCCGTAAAGGGACAATGCATGTTAAGAATGCAAAATGTGTTTTCATCCTTGACATAGATTTGTTATTTAAAAACCATAATTTCATACTGGCGAAAAATCTATTAATTGTCCCCGAGCACAACGAACTTAATTATTTCATTTGTTGACGTTGATTGATGATAAAGGACACGTCAATGTTGCTTTTTTACAATCATTCAGGAATAGGTTATCTTATTCCTGTCATAATTGTATAAGCTGGCAATAACTTTATACATATCGGCAAAGCTCGTAGATTTGATGACCTGAATATCGGACAAACATCATCAAAGTGTGTGCTGTGCGTTCAAAGGTGCTTGCACTTATACTTGGATTGTTTTCATTTCGTTTGCTTGACCATAACTCTGATTTTCATTCCAATGTCAGTTGAAAAACTCAAACAAATGTCAAATGGTTTAAAATGGGAAACACTTAATAATATACTATCATATTCTATATTGACCCTTCATACAATGTACACTATATCATAAACTATTATGGATATGTGATCTGAATGTAAGTTCCTTGAAAGTTGCTCAGCATACATTGGTATTTTAGAAAGTAGATTAATATTTCAGTTATGACTTTCCATTACAATATCATGAGCATCTGTTAGATAGGTTTCTATCTAAATAAGTAAACAGTGTAAATTGTAAATATAGCGCATGTCATATTTATTAGTCATTAAACGCATAATTTGTTCCTATACCAGATTTTCCCACGTATTTACTTTAATGCATGCTTTAAGACAAAAAACCTAACACGTTTTAAGTTTATAAATAGCTTTTTAACCTCCTTTTTCTGACTCAAGCTGTAGGCACATCACGTTAAAATACCTTAAATACTTTTGTTAACATCTTTACACCTTTATTCGACAAATTGTTTGTTTCCTTGGACTAGAGTAAAGGGAAATACCACACTTGTTTACAGACACCCCAATACAAATGATAACAAATTGTGTAAAATTCAAGCTCTGTAGTGACTCTATTTAAACGAAATGCATCAATGTCTTAGAAAAGTCAAGACAGTTACTGTTGAGTATATCGATCCAAATGTTTTTCTTAAGATATCATTGAACTAGACAAAGATCACATTATTCTGAAAATTAAAGAACATAATCTTGAATGTAATCATGCTTTGCAATCATCAATAAGTTATTCCAATGTATGTATGTATGTACGTATGTACGTGCGTGTGTGTGCGCGCGTATGCGTGCGTGCATGTAAGTTTGACTTTGTAATTACGATTATTATATGTTTAACTGCTGTAGTCATATATAGTATGTAAATGTGGGCCACATGGGTCTATGACCTTCTGGTGTTTTAAAAATAAAATCTTGACTCTATGTTTTTGGTAGAATCGTCCTATTGTAATAAAGCATTATCATGTATAACGCTATGAGCGTTTCAGTAGTTTGGAGCACAACTCTTTATAATGACCGTGGTCTAGTTTACAAATGAGGTAGAGGTTAAGTGCAGAAAGGTAACACACTTCAAACTGGCTACCCATTTTTTAATCTTACATACTTTGATAATGAACATGAAAGCTTTCAGCAATATGCAAAGTGAGAAAATTTCTTCTGAATCATCAAAATATATTTCATGAATAATTCCAAGGCCACAACTACATAGGTAAGTCGTAAATTCCTTTGTTTGACTGACTATTAATATCGTTTAATTGTTAATATATTGAATTTGATTAACCTTAGATTATGTTCGTGATAACTTAACTTAAATCATTAAATTTTGCAGGTGCGCACTCATTGACAGAACAGTCATAAAAACTTAGTAACTTTTCGAAAAACAAATAATAGTATAATATCTTACAACATACCGCAAATGCAAATCATCAAGTTACTACCTTATAATGCAAATAATGTAAATTCATATATTCAGAACGCTGGTACCGAAGTTTACTGGCGTTTAGAATCAGTTTAGGACCAAACTGCTAGCCCGAACTATTTAAACTTTACTGTAGGTTTTGGATGGTATTACTATTTCAGATGCATGCGAGAATATAATAACAAATATTATCGCGGCTATGATAAATGGTATATTAAATTTAGATATTTGTGCTTAAAGTAAATATATGATTTAAAATTGATAACAAAAACGTTAAAGTACTGGTTCCACTCATATACAGACAAGTATCTGAAGTAAATATTGAGTGTTTCTAGTGTACTGGTTGGTTAATAACGTAATTTCCATACAAGCACTTGACATTGCATAACGATATATTATGTTTAGAGTCAAGTGTTATTAATTTGTATTTCGTGGATGGCGCGTGCCATATTATGGTATGCTTTTGTTTCTTTCTAAAGTTAACTTCCTGCAAATACGTGTCAATTATCAATTATAAAAAATTGATATATACATATATGATTTATAAGTTGGAAACGCCTTATTCAAAACTAAAGCTTAATCCAGTGAGTAATAGTGTAGAATTAAATAGTGTGTTCTGTTCGGTACTGACAATATTAATGAAGTCAGTAAAAGAACCTAAACTCATTCAATATACTCTTCCAATATATAATGGTATTTTAATCCACATTCCTTACGGCATAACGTCTTGTTTCTACTGTGGATTTTGTCTTTTTTTAATTGGGCGGAGTTATCCGTTACGTGGAGCCCATTTTAATTACGACATGTATGTTGTATAAGTAAATATGTATTCATATATGCAGTAGACTCATTCTCTGGCCTTAGTTCTGGTAACATATCTGTAGAGATATAAAGTGTTTGGTAAACTATTCCTTAACATGGGAACATTACAGAAATGGACTGTAAAAAGTCCTTCCGTTTGATGCCAAGGTTACTGTGACAATGAAGGTAAATTAAGCAGTTAATAAATATAATGCGAAAATTGAATCGATGTAAATACACAAGTTCTAATAAGATAAACTGGGGGCAGCAAGAAAATTAGACATATCGCGTATCATAAGCAACAATGGTAAAATGAGATGCAAGAGCTTCATGTTTCCTATAAACATTGACCTTCAAAAGAAAGAAGCTAACTGAAATCATGTCATAACCCAACCTTAGTGCAGCTACAAGAATTAGGTGCTTATGTTATTTTGATCGTACCAGCAATATATCAAAAGGATTCTTAGATTTCAAATAAGTTAAAGCAAAAGGATACATGAAAAACCCAAACCAAATAAGGAAGAGACTTATGAAACCTGTACTGGGGCGTACACAGGTGTTAATGCTGTGGAAAACGTGAATACAATTTGTGATGGAGGAACAAAATCAAATTTAGGTTGAAACTCGTTAAATTTTCTGTTTTTGGGATAAAAATGTTTACGTTTTCAAGTTTTGTTAATAATAAAATTGTTCATGTGATGAAGTAAAGTGTGTTTCTTTGTTCACTAAAAGTATTTTATCAGTAATTGTTGACGATCACATACTTTCAAGTTCACATTGTTTCTTACATGACTTATTTAATAAGGAAATTAACGTTACGTGCTCGTATGTTTTAATCCGTTAATCTACGTTTATGTACCCGTGCATGTACAACTTCTATGCAAATATTTTAGTAAATAAGGCATATGCATTGCAATTAAAAATATATTTTGTTATCCAAACACCTGTGAAAGCAGTCTCCATACGAGTTATTCATCATCAAATAATAAATTTTATTTAAAAAAAAAAGAATTAGGAAATGCATGAATATAGTAGAGACTAAGACGAGTTACTGTGTTTAAACCTATTTGACGTTGCCACGTCATAACGTTATTCATATGCTTATATGTTGTTTTCTTTTGCAAGTCAAATTTATCCTTTGTTCTTTTAGACTTTGAAATGTGCAACTGAATTATTGGTAATCGTCTACGGCTGAATTTCCAATACGCTCTGGTTCAAAGCATTGAAGAGATTTTATCAAGTTGATATGAAAGAGGCTGTACCAACCTATCTGTGCTATGAAACAGAATTCATAATAAACACCAAAACTTGTAACAGCAAAGAAAAGAATAACTAATATATAACAATATATAACTTATACCAATCGATAAACATTTGCTGAACATATTCTATCTTTTCATACTGGTACACTTTATCCGGCTGGGTTGGTTAAATATTTAATCAAGATTCAATAAAATCAGGCCAAGAAAACACAGCGTTTTAAACCACGACGTCCAAGAAGTCAATAATATGTTTTATTTTTCTTAAAAGATACACATGTGCCTTACTTTTGTAGATATGTTGATGGGTGTTGTTTTATACGCTTGATGGATTGGGAAATTTAAAGGTTAAAAAGTGACACTGTTGCTAATGGAAGGTTACAAAGTGACGGATTGAGGTTAACAAATCAAAACATCCATCACAATACAGCTATTACGCTGAAAGTGTTAATGTAATATTACGAATTCCTTCAAGGTCATCGTTGTATAGTATAAATTCATCCTTAAACTACATTGACATTTGTAACATAGATGCTGTGTTTTTCATTAAAGTTAGACTGTAGGTACTTGTTTCAGTTGGTCCATCAGATATCTCTTATCTAATAACAGGAACGTTTTTAAAGGATATGAAAAGAACAGATTGCAATAATATGTGTGTTCAAACACATCTCCACAATGCAGATTTCCCCGGTAAAAACAGAATGATTAAAAACAGCTTCTTAGATGCCAAATTACCAATCTAAAGTTAATCATCAGTATTTAATGATCAGACATAATTTCCATAAAGGACCAGGTATCACTCATCTTATACAACAACATGCTAGACATGATTACAGGATAATCTTTTAAAAAGGGAAGTACATAAAAACAACACTTGATGATAAAGAATTCAAAACTAAAGCATCGATTCGGTTCATTAAACTTAAGACAATGAATGAATATGTAACTACGTCCTATAGTCAAGCACCAACTTATGAAGTTGTAATTTAATAGGAATAACCGATCACATAGTTCTGTACTGGAGAATTACTACTGTTGAAGTATCTACTGTTACATGTACAATTCTATCTTATTTTATAAAATATTGTTTCCAATACTGCATATTAATAATATGTAAAATGATAATTGCTTAAACCGGAGTGTGGGGGTGTTATCACCACTGTCACTAATCTTGTCTGTCAATAAAATCAAGTTTGCTTCTGTAAATGTCTACCAAAGACTGTTTTTGAGCTGTTCATAAAATATCAGAATATAGCTTTGTAACTTAAAAAATAATGCAAAGGTGTTAAGCTTATTATGCCCAAGAAACAAATCATTTTTTTCTTTAGAAAGAACAAACATGAATTTTGCAATGTTTAAGTAATGGTTTTAGGTAATGTTAAAACTAGCGACACAAAAGTAACAATATGTAAACCAATAGTTTTTTGACTTTCATACAAAGAACTAAATCACAATAAATGCATTAAGTGCCAAACAACAACATATTAAAAAGAAATGCTTATGTAATTGGTCAATGAGTTACGTTTTGGATACAATTAATGTAAACGAAAATTAAAAAGCTTTTGATAACTTAAAATAAAAGGATTTCTGAGGCACAATTGGCTTTTATAATATATATTCGCAGACGAACATTTTAAATAAATAAACAGTTACTAGTATTTCAGGTAGTAATGTTTTGCAACAATAATCTTGTTTGAAAGTTTTGTTGTACTTTTATTAAAAGTTTTAATAAATTTCTTAAAACAAATAACAATAAACAAATGAAGTGTTAGATCAGCAAATTCTCGTTTATATCTACTTATGTGTAAAGAAGGACGGCTTTTCAGTACTAGTAATTGGTAAGAAAAGACAAACATCTTTTTTAAAGTTGACAAAAGACAAACTTTAGTACACCTTAATTTTCTTTAGTGTTATCATTTGTTATTCTCTGTAAAACATTTCCAGTCTGATGGTTTTTATTGACGAAAGAGTAAATATTAAATGTCAGGAACTTGACACTTTTATATGAAGTTAAGTGATTACCATTATGATTAATATGTACATTATTATTTAATGTACAATAGAGTTTCTAAATATATCTATCATCACATTTGCATTAACGGTCCTGTTTCTTTAAAATTTGCGCTTCTTTTATTGGCTGTATTTTCTACTTTATATCAATTATGATTCAAGGTCAAATTTATTTTGACGTTCCGAATTAACTTATGGCTATGTTTTAAATGCAGAGAATGTAACCTTGTCTGGTTTATTTCAGTTATTTTAATAAAATAAAGCTTTAGAAAAGTAGCAAAAATGAAAGCGATAGCTGTCAGAAAGTCGCAGTGGTAAAGGGTAAATGGAATCTCATGTCCACTCTCCCAAAAATAGGATTGTCAGAGCAATAGACAAAAAACGGTTATATTTTATACAGCGGTGATCATTTAGCGTCCACACATAGTAACATTCCAGGTTAAGCTGGACTGCGGTTTTCCCGAGTAGAAAAAGAGTATATATATCACACAAGAGCAACTACAATAAAACACTTTCAATACATTAGCGCTTAAATCGATTTTTTAAATTCATGGTGTGCAATTTTCATACCAAAATTGACATACTCGCTTTTCATTACTTTTATTTACTTTTAATTTCTCACTGCGGTCCAAAGGCAAAAAAGATAAAATTTGAAAATCTTAAAAATAGCAAGTGAAGCACTTAAATATTTGTGCGATTCTTATACGGATTTGAGAGAAAAACGTTGCATCGCAATACATTATTGAATCATTTCGCACAATAAAAATGTTTACTCTGGAAAACGGGTTAAGGGAAAGACTCGCACACAAATTATTGGTTCAGCCCTTTATCAACTGGTACACAAATCTCGTAAAAATGATTCCCTTAATTGAAAATAGATTGAAAAAATGTTATGATCATACGCATTATCGAAGCGTCACCCTCACACATAAAAGCGTGACGTATCTGTTTTTGCAACACTTATTAGACAATGGACAAAAAAGTTTATATCTATAAAATAGGTAACATATAGCCGCATACAGAATCCTTTACTACGTATTAAAGTATTCCATTCATTTTTTAGCATTTATAAGCTACAAAAGATACATGGACAGTTTCTATCATTATTATTACTTTACTAAATGCTTTTATCACTTGAATCGATTAGTCAAATATCCATTTAATTAAGATCAACAGCGATAAATTAAATGACGTCATAGGTGGCTTTAGATTGAATGTAGGTTAAATAATTTACCTGACACCGTTATTTCTCAATAATCAAAATTGACAATATATCATTCAAGAATGACATATAGTATAATATCGCATTAACTTCTTCACAAATATTTTGTATGCCTACTTATTGTATTGTATTGTGCTGAAAGGACTGAGCTAAGAGATGGTCATTGTTATCATTCTTGGATTTACATATAAAAAGAATTAAAATCAGCAGCCGACTGTATACATTTGTGTCTAGATTTAACTGTTAAAGGAGTTTTACTGAGCTCCTCTAAAGTCCGCCTAAAAACATAAAATTTGAAAGTCTTGCATAAATAAAGAGAAGCACTTTTTAAATGAAAATCCTGCAAATGGTTATAAAGAGACATACTTCAAAGTAAGATAAAAAAACGTATCTGAGCGAAACGCGTTTCATCGATTTTTCATTTTTTTGTAATTTTACAAAATAAAATTTACCGTTCTGGAAAACCGATGATAGGAAATGATGTAAAATTTCACACAATTTACAGGTTGAGACCTACATTAAATGGAATACAAATCTTGGACAAATATTTGAAGTCCCGTCATCTCAAAAAAACGTCAGTGGAGTCCCTTTATTATAAATAAACAACCAGTGTGGACGCATGACTATTTTGTTTCGTCAAGCAATGTGCACTATAAATACAACATTTATATATTGACTTTGATAATATCTAATTATTTGCAGTTCAAATATCTACGCTTACAAGACCTCGCTATACTCTATTGTATTATAGACTTTATCAGTGATTGCTCTGTAATCTGTGTATCAAATAAACGTTTAACGTTGAATTCCTATCTGATTTTACTAAAGGCTAGAACAATTCAATATTTTCTTAAGAAAAATCAATGACTTTGTCCATGCACGATGCACGATATTAACGTGAACTAAACCAGCTGGTAGAGTACACTGGCAGAAAATTGAACGTTGGAGCATGATATATGATTGGATGGAGCAAATGTTTAACTTATCATTATTATCTTTATCATAATAGATAAGCCAAATTTAACGATTTTATTATGCTTAGTTTTGCATTGCAAGACAATGAAAAATGTCACTGACTGATCCTGACGTTAAATGTGTATATTAAACATAACATGATTTACCCTAAAACTTAGTGACGTGACTTATATAAACAATTTTGTTATCAAAATGTTAACAACAATAAAAACATAGGAAAATAGTTACTTACGATATGGTTCGCCGGGGGTCACCATTACTTTAGACGTCCCTGATGGGACTGGACCTTTCTTTATTTCATTTTTAAAGTCTTTATTTATGTCCTCATTATCAAGCGTCACATCTTCACTTGTTTGTTCCACGCGATTAAACGTTTCTGAACGTAATATCTTTGCACCATTGTTTACTAATTCTTTTAAAATTTTGTTTCGAATCCGTACAATTTGTCTCTCTTTCTCTATAGTAGGTTGGATTTGTGATATATCCTGTGCAAGTACGTGTCTATTACAGTACGTTTGAAGCAAAAGCGCTATCAACCAAATTAAACTTAAACGCGACATTCCGAGATAAATTTTAAAGTATAAACTACACGTCAGATATCTATACGGTGTCACATTGTATATCAAAGTCATTCATCACTGTTTAACACTGTTCACTTTCTAAATGTGTCATTATTCTTATAATCTCAAGGAATACTTGCGCAACTTTGGATCAAACAGTGTTATTTTTCTCGTACAAAATTTTATTGTAATGCAAATTAAAACGCCTCTGTTCAGCAAATATGGCGTGGTCTTAAGAATGTAGGTCACTTAACATTTAATTATGTGCCACCTTTTTATGTTGTTAACTTGACACAGACGTTTTTGTTGCAGTTGCTTAAACCTTCGTGTCTATGTAAAAGTAAGCATGTGCACTAATATCGAAAGTCTTGCTTCAAAAATAAAATTAATTTAAATTTTAGATTAAATCCCGCGCATCTATATTTTTCGCTAAGTTTTTCAAACTGTTTCTGCTGCGGGCGCCAAATGTTGTTTGCTAACCAATGTCCATCCGTCCAATAGCGTGGTGTAAGATCAACTGGTCACTGCGGCCCTGTAACGATACATTAAATGATTAAGTAGATCTATCGAATGTTATGGCAATCCGCTCTATGATTCTTAGTTACAGAGAATCCCAATACTGGTTGCTAATACTCTCGGTTTGACTCGAAGGAATTCCATTTAAAAGATTCCGTTTTATTGGCATTGTTAAATTGTTATCAAGTCATGAGGATTCTCGTTCGCACACCACTCCTTCATGAATGCCTTATCTTCAATGGCTATTTGTTACTTTTTTACTTCGCATTTCCATAAGTTTCTTTGCATTTACATAACCATTAATTTCGTTGTCTCCATGAACCGAGACGGAGTGTTTCACATTCACAATTTCACTCTAAAATACCGCCGCTGCAAATCCATTGACCAATCACAAGTCGCTTAAACTCGCGTGTGCTTCTTTTACGTCTAAATTCTTCCCACGCGTGAGATTTTTCCATTCACAAAAATATGTTTTTTGTGCTATCTTAAAAGCTCTCCAGAGTCGAAAAGAGCGCATTAAATACACATACAACTACAATAAATCAATCGTTAATTAACCATTTCATTCATTCCTTTTGCCAAGTTGAGAACTGTTAGAAGAATAGATATGGTGAGCGTTATCATGAAACACTCCCGTCACAATAGGACGATATATATCTCTACTTCTTGTTCTTAATACAAAAGAAATAAAAAAAGATCGGTGTCATTCTGGTTCACGGTTCGACTTAACAATCTATCAGGCGATATTAATTTGACTGATTAGGTTTAAGTGTTTAACAAGAATCATTAACATAAATTTATCTATTTGAAATAGCATAAAATTAATATACGGAAGCTTCGGCTAAAGATGTGTTTATTTTTATTTTTTAATACAAACTAAACATAACTGCTGCAAAGAATGTAAAATATCGTGATAAACTTAAGTTAAATCATAATAAAAACGAAAAGTTAAACCTTGGTGTACAAATTTTAGCATGTAAATTACATTTAAGATAATGTTAGGTTTACGGTATACACTACTAACATTCTTTTAAACCGAAGGTCCTGCAATCAGATATGTACAGTGCAGATTTTTATGTAAATAAACGAAAAGTGCTTAGGACATTTTAAAATACATTTATTAATAATCCGAATTATGGATACGTATTCACATTACCTATTTACGCTTATACATGTAGAAAGATAATGCCTTTCATAACTCATAACAATTACATTTTTTAAATTAATTTTTACTCACTGTTTGTTTCTTTTTATTTTGTTACAAAGTCTATAGAATATAATTGCAAATATGTTTGTTTTAAGTATAATATACATGTAATGATGTATACTACGGGTGAAACTGCATAAAATGATTGTTCACTTAAATATTGGAAACAAGTATTGCGATTAATTAAAAATCTTGTATGGTAACAACACATCTTCATTGACAAATACTGTTTCAGAGCCAAGTAACATGTAAAGTGAAAAGCTGTTATATCATAAACAATGTTTGATTCAGTATAACTATACCGGTACCTGTTTGAAATCTGTATAAGTGAGTTGTATTATAACAATGAATATTAATTATACAGAAATTAATTAATTGAGTGAATTGATAGTCGTAAGATTTACATAATTTAGGACACAGTGTACAATTAATTAGATTTTTGTTTATCAAGAAATACTGTTGTTTTTTATGTAAAGGTTCTTTACCCATAACATGTTTGCAATCTTTTAGACAAATATATCAGGATACCTAGTATTTTTTCTAAACACAATCAACTCATATTAGATACTAATACAGAATATAGTTTCATCAGGTGTTTTGATCTTTTTTCAATATCATTCAAATATGAATGAACTATGATGTCAGGTTTGTCTGCTAACATCTATCTGCACACCTGCTATATCTATTGATACATAGAACATATAAAATCATTTTAACTATATAGAAAACATTAACATTAAAAGCAAAGACTATCAAATGACTTTTTGAAACGAAATATCATGTTCTCTGCAACTATCCGCAAAGCATCGCCTGTAAAGCTATTTTCACTTTGATAACATCATTATGGTCCCAATGTGTCCGTTCTTTGTTGATAGCTATTGAGTTTCACTATTATATACGTACATATTTTAACAATTTCTTTAAATCGTTTAGCCGAATAAACTATCCGTATATCTTAAGATCTTAATGTGTTTTTTTTTTATCAAAAGTGAAACGCCTCTTAAATTTGCATTAAGTGATTTATAAAAGATATAAAAATTACATGGAAAATTAACAGTTTATTCAACATTTTAAACTGTAACAATATTAATGTTTGGCAAAGCATAAGCAAGTCAATAGACATAAATTATCGACGTGTACCATGATAGTAGTTTTATTCATTTATAAGCAATATTCTTTATTACTTTTGGTATATAGCCATATATTATGTCATTCATAAATACTTGAAGATGATAACGTGCTGACAACTATACATTAGCTCTAAAATAAGTAAATTAAAAAAGAACACATGAACACTTTGACACTGTTTTGCCATTACTAGGTGTACAAAATACATTCATTTACTTATCATGTGATACCATCTGCTTAAATTGTTATCAATTTTTCGCAATTACACGATTTACTGACAATGAAATAACTGTTACTTGAATGAAATGATGGTACTTTAATGAAAAGAATTCATCCGTTATGATCCTTATATTTTTTTAATGTCCATTTTCTTTTCATTTGCATCTCTTTGTAAATGTAGAATGTGCACATTAAAATGCTAAGGGAAGTAACAAACAGTCGAGATGTACCGACGAAAAGGTTAAAAATTGGTAGGATACTTCTTTGGTAAATGACGTATATAAACTTGTTACTTTGTCCGCCATTGAAACTTTACATTCTGAACACGGGTTCAAATTTAATGCTGCATATAAATTAATGGAATTTATTACATGTTTTTCGGTGATCAGTGAAAAAAACTGATAATTTCACTGTTTTAAACTGTGAAATTATCAAATTGATAATTTCACTGTTTTGAATTTAAGGCCCTTACGTTGTTTCAGTGAAATACAAGGCTTAGCGTTCACAGTACTGGAAACCAACTTAAGGACGTGACGTCGTAAATGACGTCACGTTGTATTGTTATGTGGCGCGCATTTCATATATTAGTAAATGTCTTTTTAAACGTTTTGTTTAAAATTTATTTAGTTCAGAGTAAGATTGAAATATATTTCACCTCGTGAACACCAGAAGTTCATATTTCACTCGTGGCTGCGCCACTCGTGAAATATACCTTTTGGTGCTCACTCGGTGAAAGATATTCCGATCTTACACTGAACTAAACAAATATCCACTATGTAAATTGGACACAAACGTGAAAAGAAATCTTTAATTGTCTGCGTCGTTAATTCTTAACTAATTTACCGCTGGTAACTTTTACCCATTATTGGTACATACAAAGTTTTAAGCAGTTTCTATGAGAAAGGAAGCGTGGCCGAATGGTATTTAGTGCAAACACTTTCCTGAATACTTATAATATAAGTTCTAGATCTGAGACATCGTGAATCTAAATCATTGTAACAATCATTCATAGATATACATATTGACCTACTTTTCAGACATATCATTAATTGACTATCGCTGACTTCATAGAAAAAGAATACCGTCACTGTGTCAACACAAATTCTCTTTTATCTTGACCTTTTTATCACTGGAAAAAATCGAAGGTGTGTGTCCTGAACGATTTAAAGTGTACTATTCTTGTTTTTACCTTACCTGTTTCTATTATACCATATCCTTAGGTTTATGTATTTTAGGATTAAATATCCGTTTTTGGACTAATATAGGCGGTGCTTTATCTAAAACGGGAGACTTTAAATTAGATGTTTGTTATTGAAACAGCTGTCATAATTAATCACCCAGGAGACAAAAGATAAATGCATAAATAAAACTTTCAAAGATTTTAAGAAAGGCGATATATCATTTAACGTGCTTACGTGTTTTCATGTATGGAAAGAATGCCACATGAACTGTAAAACAATCATTTTATTTCTTTTCAATACCAGGCCTCGATTTAGATCTACATGATTTCGTTATGTTATGTTAATGAAATTGTGAACTGCAAAATGTTCATACATTATGTCATTAACGAAATTCGGTAAGTATTATAAGTTATGACTTAAGTATTATGTAATGAAAAGGAAATAACGAAAGTGGAATGTAAATGGAGAAAGTACAAATCAGAATGACAATAATATTTAATGGTATTGTTCAAATGTTCCCAACTCTTAAGCGATGTGTTGCCAATCACAAAAGATTCATAAGGTACAACACTTTTCATTTACATTTTATCAACAAGCGGTGAATAGGAAGTACTATTATATCTAATCAATATTCTTGATTTTGTCTTTAAAACATTAATTAATGACGTATGATTAGAAAGACGTAGAAAGCTCATGAGAGTCGACCATATGTGTATCAATTTTAATGAGCGTCTCTTTACCGATAACTTTATCATTCTTATAGAAACCGCCTACATTCCGGGTGAGTCTAGAATTACATTACCGTTAAATACACAAATTAATGGATAGAAGTATTAACGAAATAATCTTTAGATAAACTTATAAAACCTTTTAAGGTACAAAATAAACACGTGCGTACTTGAAGTGGCAAGCTATTCTGCACTGATACGTCACCTATCAGGATTTGGGTATGACTGGCTGATATAGAGGTGGATACTAAATAAAACTACATGTAAAGGCGATTAATCCTTAATCAGCTGAAAGTGAAAGTGATCAACTTAGAACTGAGCCAGGCCAACCCGCATATTTGTCTAATCAAATGAACATTCTGCTGTATATATACTACATCCAAACCATGAAGTCAAACTCATTTAACAGAGATAGTAGATGATTATCTAAAAACCATTCCTGTGAAATAATATAAAACAATGTTTCTTATAAGAATATTTTCAAAGTTTTTCTATTTACACAAAGGGAAATATAAATATAGGGACAAAAGACCACGTCCCTAGAAGCTGCAACGGTTTTGCTATTTGTTTTGCAGCAAAAATGAAAAAGGAAGATGATAATCATAATATAATCACTACTTTTCCTAGTCACCATATATCTATAGAAGTTTTGAATATATTTCTGGTTATTTTCTGGTTTTATCTTATGGCACCAGTAGGAATAATGGTTCTTTAACATTGAAACTTCTTTTGGCCACTATGTATGTATACTTTAAGTCAATTGGGTTTCGGTCAAGAAAATTGCAACCCCCAACTTTGATTGATGGGGTTACAAAATCTATAGTATTCGTTCGTTTCTACGGTATATTTTAAACATTTTAACACGGAAATTTCAGTTCTATTGTAAAGTACATGTCAGCATTAGTTAAAGAGCAGAAATGCTACATGCAAAAACAATGAAACAAGATGAAAAACAAACAAACATAAACGATTGACAAAAGTCTGAAAATGTTCTCTCTAATGTTTTGTAACTAGTGTTAAAGAAAAAGAAAGGTATTTCTATTACAACAATGACATTGAAAGCAATAATTTGATAACCTTGATTAAACCAAACCGAAATAAAGTATTGATGTTATACATGTGAGGATAAACCAGTACATTCATTCTTTTGGATAATATAGCATAACTTCCATAACATCTAGATGATATACCGTACTTCCATACCTTCTAGATAATATATCAGTACTTCTACAACTTCTAAAGGATATGTCAGTTCTTAAATACATTCAAGAGGATATGTCAGTTCTTCCATACCTTCTAGATGATATACCAGTACTTCCATTACTTCTGAAGGATTCCCCTACTTTTATACCTTCTAAGAGGATATACCAGTAATTCTACACCTTCTAAAGGATATACCAGTTCTTAAATGCATTCAAGAGGATATGTCAGTACTTCTATACTTTCTAGATGATATACCAGTACTTCCATTACTTCTAAAGGTTATACCAGTACTTCTACACCTTCTAGAGGATATACCAGTGCTTCCATACATTATAGAGGATATAGCAGTACTTCTACACCTTCTTGATAATATAACTGTACTTTCACACCATCTAGATGATATACCAGTACTCCTTTACCTTCTAGATGATATACCAGTACTGCAATACCTTTTAGATAAAATACCAGTACTTCTACACCTTCTAAATGATATACCAATACTTTTATACCTTCTAGATGATAAACCAGTACGTCCACACCTTCAGGATGATAAACCAGTACTTTTACATCATCAAGAGGATATACCAGTACTTTAAATACCTTATAGATGATCTACAAGTACTTCCATATATTCTAGAGGATATGCCAGTACTACCATATCACCTAGATGATATACCAATACTTTCATACCTTCTAGAAGATATACCAGTACCTTTATACCTTCTAGTGGATATACCAGTACCTTTATACCTTCTAGAGGATATACCAGTACCTTTATACCTTCTAGAGGATATACCAGTACCTTTATACCTTCTAGTGAATATACCAGTACGAATATCCCTTCTAGGTGATATACCATAATTTCCATATCTACTAGATGATATACCACTGCTTCGATACCTTCTAGTGGATATGTCAGATCTTCCATACTTCTAAGCTCGCACTTTACTTTTTATCGTGATGTTTTGCTTTTAATATAATGTTTCTTGTGACGTACTATAACATTTCTCATCTTTATTTTTTCAAGTTTTCTCCGTGAAAGTATTTCTTTGTCACAAAGTATTTGCAAATTAATGGAAACTTCATACAAGTTACATTCAAACACGGGGGTTAATTGTTAATGACATGCACATAAACAACATTCCGGATTTTTTTTAGCAACTCTACAAAGCGTCCAATCTAAAAATAAATAGATGTGCGTCAATCGGCGCGCGCCGTATTTAAAGTATGATCATTTTGAATGTGAAAATATGCTGTTTTGTTCCTTGATAAAACAAATACTCATGTAATATGGAGACTTATTTAAGTATTTAAAGATAATTAACTATGTCTCTAACACTTAATTTTGTTTTGGTGAAAGAAAGGATTCGGCTTAAAACCATTTTATGATATGAAGTAAATGTATAGGTCGTCGTAACATTTCATGCCAATGAAAATATATATTGCGGTAGGGAAAAAAAGTAGCCAATGTTTTATTTACATGCATATGTCCATGTACTCTGAAGATCACGCGTTATCATTTATCCGCCCAATCCATTAACAAACATGAAATGATTTATGAAGAATGATCAGAAAGTTTTGACCAACTTCGTGATTCCATTACTTAGAGGTGGTTCTCTTTGTTTATCATTAAAACCTTTTACTACGTTCCCAAGCATTGTGGTTCAACTAGTACACTTTTTGTGCTATATAGCCCTGGTATCTTCAGTTTCATGTAACCGCCTAATGGAAAAAAACATTGCTTAGTAATCAATTTAACCCAAATAATCATTCATGACGTAGAACTTGATAATATGCAAACGTTGTTTTGAATAAAAGTAAATTTATCGGAAAAAAAATATGAGGGTGCGTAATGTTAATGATTTATTCGTAAAAACAAAATCAGAATATTTAGTCCAAAGTTAAACTAAAGAGAATCGAATGAATCGAACTATAATGGCATAGCAGTTGTAATTTTGACACGAAATTTCCAATAGTTTTAACGTTGGTTAAATAGTTCAGTGCTTTAACGTCAGAACAATGTAATACTATTGTTTTGAGAAAATAAAACGTACAATTTCGATAACAAATTTTCATTTCAATTTAACTTGAAGCAGTGAAATATCTCCACGTACTATCACTTTGGTGATATTTATATATTCAATTGATTAACTAGGATTCTGCTTTGGCCGGTGATAGGGAGCGTGGACGGTAGCTTACACTTTCTATACCCGTACATGTGAGGGCTTATCCAAACTGAGCCTGAAACATTTTCTGGAGACTGGGGTTGTTTTTTTCTAAAATATGCTCCTCGGTACAAAGTTTTAAAATGTAAAACATGTTTAGTTCGCAAGTTTAACATTTATAAAAGTACTTTCAGCATTTTGTTTAAACTGTTTCATTATATAATGTAGTTCGAGAGTTGTTCATTTCATACAATATAACAATTCAAATTCAAATGTCAAGAGGCATATTTAAACAAATTTTGCGAAATTTAACAATTTCATTTTCCCTAACCTTAAGGGATCTCCCTTTTCAAACTTTTTACAGCAATATCCCTTACTCCATTTAAAACTTTTATAATTATTCTATTTGGAGAACAAATGAAGGAATTTAAATGACTACCTAAAAGCTGACAAACAAAACTTTTAATGATTTAGGTAAATTTCATATCATCAGCAAACACCGATTATTTACGTGGTCAAAACCTGTTAAATTCCAGTTTTATCTCTAAAAAGATTTATTTTATTTATAAGTCAGTAGGTCACGAGTTGTTTTGTTACATATCAAATTACCACAAGGTTTAGGGTATTGCATAATAGTCTAGTTGGTTCATACATCAATTGTCAGCCTTTGAAACTGTTAACTGGTGTGAGATAATTTGGAAACCGGACACGCGTAATGTGTGACACCTCTTGTTAAAGGTATGAAAATGAAATAAGTTAAGACCATTTGTTTAAATGACAGGTTTTATATGCGAATTGATATATATGCTTGAGGTTATAAGCGTCAAGTAGGGGGTTACATTAGATGTAAATTTGACCTTCAAACAGTTTGTATTTTCACAAAGAAATCTTAAAACAAATCATAACTACACCTGTGTTTTGTATAGTATAGCAAGTGATCTGTTTGAAATAAAATATCAAATGACAAGTATAATGCATAGACAAAAGATGTTGAAAGAAAATGAGTAAGACAACCAACAAGGGAGCTTAACGTTCCACAAACCAAGCATATAGTTCAAATTGTATTATTTTAGTACATCTACACTGAATTTATAACATTTAGAGTGCTGATACCAGCTGAAGTATTTCCATATTGACTTTAGCATTTGTGTTAAACAGCACGTCTGTGTATAAATTAATTTAACTCAGCTGTTAAACAAAATGACACAGTTCCGTATCAGAGTCAAATATGTTTTAATATCGGCCGAATTATAACACGTTATATCCTAATTCATTGGCTTACAGTCAATGTACACATTTTAGTCTGCACTTGTTCAGCGGCACGCACCTAATGACTGTCATTACCGATGCTCTATAAAATGACATTTAAACATTTTATACTCATTCCGTTTGCATGTTGTTTAGCTAAAAGGTCAAGTAGACATTCTTAAATTCCTCTTTTTGTCAACAAAATATGAATACATACTAAAGCAAATATTGTGAATTGAATTCAACTCGTAAAACGTAAATAGTTTACACCGTTTGGCCTTGAAGAAAAATGTAAGATCAATCATGAGTTTAATATGTTTTGGATATTATTTAGTTCCATTTTATAAATTAATATGTTTCATTGCATGACATAAGGTGTTATTAAATTGTATTAAAATTCACTAAGGGTATGAAATGTGGGGCTGTAGTTCTATGTCAAAAAGAGTAGAAGATAAGATTTCTAGATACGGGCATTGTAAAATCAATTAGTATTGCGATAGACATTCTAAAGGGTAAAAAGCAATAAACATCCTTCATACAGTATACAATATCATTATTTAATTTATTTTTGGAAAAGAAAAATATCCTAAATACCTACATGAAAGAAAAATGTTTGTATATTTCTCAAACGGGTGCATGAAACCGAATTGTGGAATAAATATATATTTTTCAAAAATGGCCTTCAAGTATGATGGTGAAACCAGCGAATATATAAACCTTTGAAGAAAATTTAATTTATATATTGGTGACATTTAGACAATCAATTCAATCTGTGATTAACATTCGATGATTTTATAACATCTTCAATAGGTAATGTAATTTAAACAAGCTATATGTGTGTGTTAGACATACAGGAAATTAAATGATATTATCTGAAGGTATTATTACAACTTGTTGCATTAAAAACTAATTCATCAAACGAAATATCACCAGAACCCCTCTACTTGACATTAAAACGAACGTATAGCCCTGATAGTTGACATGATTTTCAAACCTTTTAAAATCCAAACTGCTTGAGGATTGAATTACCATACTTCTCTCTAAACTGTTTTAATTCGACTCGGATTCGTTTTATAAGCATGTCAACATTGTTTGTATAAAATTCTGGTTTGCAGAAAGTTTAAATTGATATGCAAATTTCGAATAGTCCTATAGAGAGTCCTTACGAGAAAATTGGAACGCATGTATTTGTTCTTACTATATTATAAGCTTGTATATAAACGATTTCACTTTTATATTTAGCAATTTATTGACGCAAAGGGGATTTTCTTGTAAAATCATTCAAGAAATAGATAAGCAGAAAATTTACACCCGATCGTACAACTTTATTAGATTTCTTTTCTTCTTTAAAAAAAGGTTTGTTTGTAATATTTTGTTTGATTGCCATGAATACTGTAAAGAAATTAATACTGTATCACTTACATTGGCCAGTACTGTCAATATTTCAAGTGGATTAGTTTACAGTTGACTCATTTTCCATAATTATTTCAAATATTGATGAAAAAAACAATTGAAATGTATGATTAGATATTCCAATAAAACAATGTTTGGCGAAAAAGTTGACAAAGTTCTAAATGGTTTAGTATAAACCTTTTTTTATATGATGAATAATAATATTTTGTTCTATCTGTTAAAGTATAGATATAAGTAATATCGGATTATGTGTCTCACACTGGTCAATAACATTTTGGTATAATTCTTTCGTGGTTTGTTATGTCTAATCTAAATTATATTTACGTAATAATTATTTTATTACAGATCTTTCATTATAGACCAATTCACATTATTCTGATATGGAACTTATATTTGTTAATTTATAAGAAATATTGATATACATGTATGCCCTTTGCTTGAATGTTAATGCCTCTCTTTCTAACATATTAACTGACATCATTAACCATTAAATTATTACAAAACTAAACAGACATAATTTAAGATTAAACGATAAATTGAATGCATGTAAAACAGTGATTTATTCTGCGATCATTCGAGGTCTTACGTACTTTTAGGATATGCAGAAATACACCACATGTTCATGAAGTATATTGATGATATGGTTCATAAGACTTGTCATATCATTACAAAGGTTGTAAATTATATATTTGTTTTACATCAAATCATTATTCGCTCACATTTTTCGTGAACTTTTATCATGAAGAGTTCTATATATAACTTTCAAAAAGACCAAAAATAGCATCGAAACATATCATTAAATGTTCATTAAGCGCCCGAGTTTACGATAACCTGGATCAAAAGACACCGTTTTATCTTGCCACGGTCTTGTAAAACACGAGAGAAAACAACTGTAAGGTTATATATGGTCTATAACTCCTACAGGCCAATGACCTTTTCATCTCAACAAATTGTTACAAATGTAGAACGTTGTTTTATATTTGCAGTACATATGACATGGATTGAAGGTTACCGCGACATTATACCTACAGGTGA